ACTGATCCGGTCGCTTGGCTGTTTGCTTAAGACATTGAAATGGGGCTGGAAATGAGGTCATCCTGACTGATCCGGTCGCTTTGTTGTTTCCTTAAGACATTGAAATGGGGTTGGAGATGAGGTCCTCCTAACTGATCCGGTCGGTTTGCTGTTTGCTTAAGACATTGAAATAAGGCTGGAGATGAGGTCCTCCTGGCTGATCAGGTCGCTTTGCTTGTTTGCTTAAGACATTGAAATGGGGTTGGAGATAAGGTCCTTCTGACTGATCCGGTGACTTTACTCGTTTGCCTAAGACATTGAAATGGGGTTAGAGATGAGGTCGTCCTGACTAATTCGGTTGCATTGCTCGTTTGCCTAAGACATTGAAACGGGGCTGGAAATGAGATTCTCCTGACTGATCCGGTCGCTTTGCTTGTTTACCTAAAACATCGAAATGAGGTTGGAGATGAGGTCCTCCTGACTGACCAGGTCGCTTTGCTCGTTTGCCTAAGATATTAAAATGAGGTTGGAGATGAGGTCCTCCGGACTGATCCGGTCGCTTTGCTCGTTTGCCTAAGACATTGAAATGAGGTTGGAGATGAGGTCCTCCTAACTGATCCGACCGCTTTGCTAAGTTAGTCGATTTTGCTTGTTGACAAACGTCAGACTCTTCTCTTGAGATAATAGTCCAGACTAGTGTGTTACTGATTGCATGGGGTTGATTGAGAACAACTTGAAAAGTTAATCAACTAAGTAAGATACATGACTAATGTTTTTGTGATCAAGACAAACGAAAAATGAAAGTTTTGGATGGACAAACCCTCGTTTTGAATTAGCTGAATGCATTGTGGACATGACATGCTTGCAGACAATGACTTTTCTTTTGTTCAAGCTCTGTCTGTGTTTTGCATAGCGGGGTAGTCTGTTAGTGCTCACCTTATACTTGAGCGATAGGCAAGAAGATGTATGTTTTTCGGTTTCGCATTGTCTCTTTATGCATTATTACTTTTGTAGTACTTTGGGTAATCTCTAAGTTAGCAAAAGTTCCGGGAGCCTATTTTCCTTATGGTAGATGCTGCCGTAATTTCTGCTAAATACTCAAAGTTAGTCAAGCTTCAGATATGTCAACTAGGATAGAATAAAGTTTAATCTTTGGAGTAAAAAGAAATTCTGAAAATATTTTTTCTAAAGGAAGTGCTATCGAAATTTTTACTAAAGCCAAAGAGTTAGTTTATTTTCAAATATTTCTTGAGTCTCGAGTTTTTCTTTTTGTATTTGGTATAGTAAATATTTTTAAAGCACATTTCCCTAAAGGAAGTGCTGCCAATTTTTTTGAGTTTTTTCCATCATTACTGGACGCTACTGCTAAGTAGCTTATAATACGATACGGAGTTTGTCTCCGTTAACTCGACAGGTTGTGTCTACATTGATTTTGTGGCGCATGTCACCGTTACCTGCGGGAACTCTCAGAGATCTCGAGCTTCATAAACTTCTGCTATCGAACTGATAGGAAGTCGGTTTTCGACTCACCTCCTACCCACCGTGATACCCACGCCCAGATGTATGCAGTGTGACCCCGTAGGCGAAAGACATTTCCGTATAAATAAAGTTCCTATTCTTTGAACCTCTTTTGAATGGCCATGTAAAAGTTGTGTGAATCCGATACCCTAAGTGGTTTTTTTTTTTTTTTTTTTTTAATTTCACAATACAGTGTGTTATTTTATTAGTATCTCAAAAATGTTGACTCACTCGTTCGATTGTCAAAGCGGGCGACTCGAATCTAACTTAGTTTTTCAAAGCTAAAGTTCGATAATTTTTTTTAATACGAGTCAACATTTTGAATATAGCATTGGATTTCAAAAACTTATAAAATAAAATTCACTTTACACCATGGGCACTGAGATATGCATCATCAGACTAAGGTGCGTCATATTTGTCGATATACGCGAAACCTTTTCTCCTTCTAAACCAAGATTTATTGGCATAGCGTATCCTGTCATGTTGAGAAGAATAGAGAGAGGATGATGATGAAAACAATGATTCAAAGAGATGTTGTCAAGCGTGGAGGGGACAAAACATAGGGGAACTGAAATATTTATAACGAGACCAAGGTGCGTCCTGTTAGTAAAAAACGTTAAGTCGTTTATTCTTTTAGACCAGGTTTGTTGGCATAGCGTATCCTGTCCTGTTGAGAAGAAAAGAGAGAGGGTGATAATGAAAACAGTGATTGAGAGAAAATGTTGTCAACTGTGGAGGTAACAAAACTTAAACGAAGCATAACGTATAACTCACAATTACTCAGTACATGAAATCTAAAAAACTCATATTTTACAATATCAAACACATAAGAAAATCTTAGGCTACATTTAAGGTACATCCTTAATAAAGTGACTGGTACCAACACCGATCCCGAAAAGAAAAAAAATATGCGACCCAGTTGACCGTGTGCGTGCGTGAGACAAAATGACTTTAGATGTAGTTGCACATTGAAGATCAATGTAGACCTTGCTTTTTTTTTTTTCCTTTTTTTTTTTAATCCTTATCTCTTTAAAAAGGTATAAAATAGATTAGCGCCCTTAGGTCTGTGTTCCTCATGTCCCCACAGTTACCGAATAAAGTCGCTACTGAAATGGGTAGGTGGGGCCTTACGATTAGGAAAAAAAAAACAAAAAAACGATAATAAGCAACGATAATCTCGAGGATTCCAACGTCGTTCAACTATTCATGGAAATCCAGTCCTTTAAAAAAAAGCAAAAACGCTTTAAGGAGTACCCTCGATAAGTTTAGGATTCCCCAACCCTATTATCATTGACTTTAAACCGTCAGTACACGACCCCAGCCTTGTAGAAAAAACAACTCGCCGTCATCGCACTGCAGCAATGATCACCCTACAAGACGACAATAGTTGGTGACGCCAACCAAAAAAGAAAAAAAAGTGCGCTACTGGTGGTTCGGAAATGCTTGGCGCATAGTAAGGTGTCCCCAGTCTTGGTGCCCCTGTAAGTTTTTTTGAAATTTCAAGGAGTACGACATTTGAATGAGAGAGCATATTCCAAATTTAGATCGTGGTGGCACCTGATTGGCTGGAAGCCTGAAACATAGCCTTCTTTTCGTTTTCCCTTTTTTTCACAAGCGACAACTTTTCGAGGAATAATCCCAGTTTAACTAGGATGCCAATTTTTTTTATTTATATTTTCATGGATTAGTCCTTGATTTCTCATAATTCCTAAGGAGTGTCTAAATGAGGCCCTAAGGCAACTGACAATGTGCCTCATTGCCTGATCCCACTACTTCTCAGGTTCGAAGTTGTCTGAAAGTACAGAAAAAGTTGGGGGCACACCGAGCGGAGCGAAAAAGGCATCCTACATATCCGCCACGCCCGCGACATTCCTGAACTGAACGACACATTAGGAGTTCGATGATTTGGCCATCCTCCATTGGCTGTGTGGCAGCGCTCCTGTAAAAAAAGGTGGAAATTTACTCTTTCGTAAGGGGTGAGCGAGGAGGTACTTTTGGAATCACCAGACTTTTTAGCGCTGCTGTTTTTGTCATTTGATCACAACCTTCCATGCTCCTGGTATCCTCATGGAAAGTTGGGAACTGCAGAAATTTCGCAAAAAAGTGGGATCTGGAGTTCCCATGGTAATTACTTACGTAATGTCGGATCAGGCTCTTGTTAGTGCAGCTTTCCGCTTTGTTGCTGCTCGACCTTCAACCCCTTGGAACCGCGAGGTTTGAACTTATTTACCTTAGGGGTCAAATGAACGCATGACGTTGTGGCGGGTGGTCAAGGACTACCCCCCAAAACCCCTAGAGCTTCATGTGGGCTGATTGGCCACAGTTCGGGGTCCATTGGGCCCAGTAATGGGACCGAGTAGACATAGAGCTTCATGTGGGCTGATTGGCCGCAGTTGGAGGTCCATTGGGCCCAGTAATTGGACCGAGTAGACACAGATAGCGAAGTTGCCCATCCCACGGTCTACGGGAGAGGAGGAGTCAACACGCTGCCGCCGGCGGGCGATCTGGACCCAATCTCCCAATTGGAGCTTGCGTCGACGGCCGCGCCGAGGAACCCCTACCCTCTGTGCATCTCCTTGCAAGGCAGGGAGCCAGGCAGGGGTCCTCTGTCAAATCGAACCTGTCAAATCGTGCGTCCGAGCCGTGGCTGCCGCACAGGCATAGGCCGCTGCGGAAGGTGCGCCGAAGCTGGACGCATCTACCGTTTCTGCTACCCGCGCCCAAGGGTCGGCTATCTTACCGAGGGGCGGGGGAAGTGGGGAAGGCGGAGAGGGGGGGGGCGGGCGCGAATTCACCCTCCCTCGGCCAGCGAGCGAGCGAGCGAAAGAGCGCGCACTGTGTGTCCGTGCGTGCGTTTGTGTTTGTCTGTAACAGTGTGTTTGTGTGTTGTGTGTTGTTGTTTGTGTGCGTGTGTGTGTGCGTGTGGTTACTTTATTGGTTGAGCGTACGTAGTAGAGGAGGCGACCCGGGAGGCTTGGCGCTGTCGAATTGGGCATATCGAAGGACGAGGAAAGGATTGGGAGAGGCATTGATTATTCATTATCACGTCGAGTCCAGCTTCGGCATGAGTAACTCCAGTTCCGGAGGTTAGCCGATCACTATCACTATCACTATCATCATCAACCATGTCTGTGCTTGTTCCTAGGCAGGGGAAGCAAAGAGAAATAGCTACATGATGGCTCCCGCCTTTTCTCTGTCGCTCATCCTGCGGCGGGAGGGGACCACGTTTTGACTCAGGCGAATATTAAGAGACAGCTTGGTGTGTTGCTTTGTGCCTGCGCGCGAGCGCGAGGGTGTGCGTGTGCGTAGAGGGGAATGCTGGCTTGCACGCGCGCGCGTGTGTGCTTGCGTGCGTGCTTGCGTGCGTGCATGCGTGCTTGTGTGTGTGTGTGTGTGTGTGTGTGTGAGTTTCTAGGCAGGACGCGTATGGAGATAAGGCAGTCTCTCCTGTTATCTCTCTCTCTCTCGTTGTTATCTCCTCTCGGTGTTCTCTCTCTCTCTCTCTCTCTCTCTCTCTCTCTCTCTCTCTCTCTTTCTCTCTCTCTCTCTCTCTCTCTCTCTCTTCCTCGGTGTCTCTCACACACACACACACACACACACACAAATGTGGCGGTGTGTATTTGTGGGAGCGCGAGGGTGTGCGTGTGCGTAGAGGGGAATG